AGTGATAGTGCCACATGACCCGTGGAAGTTATTCTCAATGTGAAGACAGGACTCTGTCTCCACAAGGACTGTGTGATGGTCATGCTTACCGATACTGTCATGGACAGATACATCTGCAGCTGGCAGATTGGGAAGGATGAAGTCAAATATGTTTTTCCCTCTTGTTGGTTCCCTCACCACCTGCCGCAGACCCAGCCTAGCAGCTATGGCCTTTAGGGCCCGACCAGCTCGATCGGTAATACTGCTGCTGAGCCACTCTTGGTGGTGGATATTGAAATCCCCCACCCAGAATACATTTTGCACTCTTGTCGCCCTCAGTGCTTCCTCTAAGTGTTGTTCAACATTGAGGAGTACGGATTCACCAGCCAAAGGAGGACGGTATGTGGTAATCAGCAGGAGGTTTCCTTGCCCCTGTTTAACCTGAAGCCATGAGACTTCATAGAATCTGGAGTCAATGTTGAGGACTCCCAGAACAAATACCTCCCGACTGTATCCCACTGTGCTGCCCCCTTTGCTGGGTCTGTCCTGCCGGTGGGACAGGACATATCCAGGGATGGTGATGGTGGTGTCTGGGACATTGTCTGTAAGGTATGATTCCGTTAGTGTGACTATGACAGGCTATCGCTTGATTAGTCTGTGAGAGAGCTCTCCCAGTTTTGGCACTAACCCCCAGGTGTTAGTGAGGAGGACCTTGCAGGGTCGACAGGGCTGTTTCTGCCGTTGTCTTTTCCTGTGACTAGGCCGATGCCAGGTGATCCATCCAGTTTCATTTCTTTGCATCTTTGTAGCGATTGGTACAACTGAGCGTCTTGCTAGGCCATTTCAGAGGGCAACTGCGAGTCAACCATCGCTGTGGGTCTGGAGTCACACGTAGGCCTTGAGTGAACGAGAAGTGTTTTTCTGACAATCAACAATGATTTCACGGTCATCACTAGGTTCTTAATTCTTACCAACCATGCCTCTTATATTGTCATCCAAATCATTTATATAAATGACAAACAGAAGTGAACCCAGCACCGATCCCTGCGGAATACCACTGGATACATAGGATATATGGAATCTTTCTCAATGCCTGACTGAAGAAACGGTGAACGGTATTTTACAGATGATCGATGTCTTGATTCCTGTGTGATGTTGGATGTTACAACCTGGAATTGAAACAGTGGGGATAAACAGGACAGGCAGCAGCAAATCAATAGTGGATTAAGCACCGAGTGTCCCCGTGTTATTCTGGCGCCCCCCACCAAGTATCCTCCTGTTACACTGCCCCCCCTCCCC